CCTGACTTCTGCATTTGGAGGCCTGCAGAACACGGATAGTCAGAGGGAGGTGATGATGTGTGCTGTGTGAATAGACGGGCCTGGGATCTATTTATATAATCCATCTGGAGGGACTCTCGGCAAAGGGTTAGCAGAGGCCCTGCTGGCACTTTCACACTGCACTTTAGCATTTGCTACTAGCAGGGACCCAGTCCAAACTGAAACTGTGATACTGTGCAGGTTGCAAAAGGGGAAGTTGAGGCTAAATCTAATTTAACTCTATTTAATGCAGCACAGAATTAAGATTTTACTATATTCATGTAGTAAGGAGTGTTTTGCATCATGCAGGACTGTATGTCTGTCGTTCTCTGGGTTCATTGTAGGACAGTTCTGAGTATGGAAGTCAAACTGGTGTTGCATGAGATTTGTTTTATGGTGAAAATCTCTTCTTAAAGATCTTTTACAGTAAGGCTCCCCTTATAGATGGCTAAAATAGTTTATAGATACATTATTAATTCCTCTATCAACACTTTATAAATCATTAATAATTGTTGATTATGCATTAGTTAAGGGTGACAGAGACAAAACTGACCATTTTCTTGCCAAATAGTGAGCCCAATCTGTTCACCTATATATTTCATCTAGAGTTGTTACATTAAATATTTTAGAGTAAGTTACTACCTTGTAAGCACAATAAGCATTTATAAACCTATCTTTAGCATATAATATTGTACTTTATCACTGCGTTATAAGCATCCACAACTAATATTATATCCTAAAAATTTTGGTTTACAAATGTTTATTAATGTTTATTATCAAACTCCCCTATGATGGGAAAAAGAAATGGACTTGATGTTCCCTCGCCCGGACGTGGGTCACCGGGGCCCCACGCTGGAGCCAGGCCTGGAGGTGGGGCATGTGGGCGAGCGCCTGGTGGCCAGGCTTTTACCCATGGAGCTCGGCCGGGCACAGCCCGAAGAGGAGACGTGGGTCCCCTTTCCCATGGGCTCACCACCTGTGGGAGGGGCCAAAGGGGTCGGGTGCAATGTGGGAGGGGTGGTGGCCGAGGGCGGGGACCCTGGCGGTCTGATCCATGGCTACAGAAGCTGGCTATTGGGACATGGAATGTCACCTCACTGGTGGGGAAGGAGCCTGAGCTGGTGTGTCAGGTTGAGAGGTTCCGGCTAGAAATAGTTGGACTCACCTCTACGCATGGCTCTGGCTCTGGAACCAGTTTCCTTGAGAGGGGTTGGACACTCTTCCACTCTGGAGTTGCCCCTGGTGAGAGGCGCCGAGCAGGAGTGGGCATACTAATTGCCCCCCATCTTGGTGCCTGTGTGTTGGAGTTCACCCCGGTGAATGAGAGGGTGGCCTCCCTCCGCCTACGTGTGGGGGGACGGGTTCTGACTGTCGTTTGTGCTTATGCACCAAGTGGCAGCTCAGATTATCCACCCTATTTGGAGTCCTTGGATGGGGTACTGGAAAGTGCACCTCCTGGGGACACCCTTGTTCTGCTGGGGGACTTCAGTGCTCATGTGGGCAATGACAGTGAGACCTGGAGGGGTGTGGTTGGGAGGAACGGCCCCCCTGAGCTGAACCCGAGTGGTGTTCTGTTGTTGGACTTCTGTGCTCGTCATGGATTGTCCGTAACAAACACCATGTTCAAGCAAAAGGGTGTCCATATGTGCTCTTGGCACCAGGACACCCTAGGCCACAGTTCGATGATCAACTTTGTTGTCGTCTCATCTGATCTGCGACCACATGTCTTGGACACTCGGGTGAAGAGAGGGGCGGAGCTGTCCACTGATCACTACCTGGTGGTGAGTTGGCTCCAATGGTGGGGGAGGATGACGGTCAGACCTGGCAGACCCAAACGTATTGTGAGGGTTTGCTGGGAACGTCTGGCAGAGTCTCCTGTGAGGCGGAGCTTTAACTCCCACCTCCGGGAGAACTTCAAACATGTTATGGGGGAGGTGGGGGACATTGAGTCCGAGTGGGCCATGTTCCATGCCTCTATTGTCGAAGCGGCTTACCAGAGCTGCGGCCGCAAGGTTGGCGGTGCCTGTCGTGGCGACAATCCTCGAACCCGGTGGTGGACACCGTCGGTGAAGGATGCTGTCAGGCTGAAGAAGGAGTCCTATAGGGCCTTTTTGGCATGTGGGACACTGGAAGCAGCTGATGGGTACAGGCAGTCCAAGCGACATGTGACTCGGGTGGTCGCTGAGACAAAAACTCGGGCATTGGAGGAGTTTGGAGAGGCCATGGAGAATGACTTCTGCACGGCTTCGAGGCGATTCTGGTCCACCATCCGGCGTCTCAGGGGGGGAAAGCGGTATACCACCAACACTGTTTGTAGTGGAAGTGGTGTGCTGCTGACCTCAACTCGAGATGTTGTGGGTCAGCGGGCAGAATACTTTGAAGACCTCCTCAATCCCACCGGCACGTCTTCCACTGAGGAAGCGGAGCCTGGGTACTCTGGGTCGGGCCCTCCAATCTCTGGTGCGGAGGTCACCGAGGTGGGTGGTTAAAAAGCTCCTCGGTGGCAGGGCCCCAGGGGTGGATGAGATTCGCACGGAGTTCGTTAAGGCTCTGGATGTTGTAGGGTTGTGTTGGCTTACGCAACTCTGCAATATTGTGTGGACATCGGGGGAAGTTCCCCTGGATTGGCAGACCGGGGTGGTGGTCCCCCTATTCAAAAAGGCGGACCGTAGAGTGTGTTACAACTACAGGGGGATCACGCTCTTAAGCGTCCCTGGTAAGGTCTATTCGGGGGTTCTGGAGAGGAGGGTCCGTCGGATAGTCGAACCTCGGATTCAGGAGGAGCAGTGCAGTTTTTGTCCTGGTCGTGGAACACTGGACCAGCTCTACATTCTCAGCAGGATCCTGGAGGGTGTGTGGGAGTTTGCCCAACCGGTCTACATGTGCTTTGTGGACTTGGAGAAGGCGTTCGACTGCATCCCTCGGGAAACCCTGTGGGGAGTACTCTGGGAGTATGGTGTACCAAGCCCTTTGACATGGGCTGTTAGGTCCCTGTATGACCGGTGTCAGAGCCTGGTCCGCATTGCTGGCAGTAAGTCGGGCTTGTTCCCGGTGAGAGTTGGACTCTGCCAAGGTTGCCCTTTGTCACCGATTCTGTTCATAACTTTTATGGACAGTATTTCTAGGTGAAGCCAAGGTGTTGAGGGGATCTGTTTTGGTGGCCTTAGGATTGCATCTCTGCTTTTTGCAAATGATGTGGTCCTATTGGCTTCATCAGATCGTGATCTACAGCTTTCGCTGGAGCGGTTCGCAGCCGATTGCAATGCGGCTGGGATGAAGATCATTTCCTCCAAATCCAAGGCCATGGTTTTGAGCCGGAAAAGGGTAGAGTGCCCTCTCCAGGTCAGAGAGGAGGTCCTGCCCCAAGTGGAGGAGTTCAAGTATCTTGGGGTCTTGTTCACAAATGAGGGAAAAATGAAACGTGAGATCGATAGGCGGATAGGTGCAGCATCTGCAGTGAAGCGGGCACTGTACAGGTCTGTCGTGATGAAGAGAGAGCTGAGTCAAAAGGCGAAGCTCTCAATTTACCGATCGTTCTATGTTCCTACCCTCATCTATGGTCAAGAGCTTTGGGTTGTGACCGAAAGAACAAGATCTCGGATACAAGCGGCCGAAATGAGTTTTCTCCGCAGGGTGTCTGGGCTCTCCCTTAGAGATAGGGTGAGAAGCTCGACCATCTGGGAGGGACTCAGAGTAGAGCCGCTGCTTCTCCACGTTGAGAGGAGCCAGTTGAGGTGGCTCGGGCATTTGTTTAGGATGCCTCCTGGACGCCTCCCTGGTGAGGTTTTCCAGACACGTCCCACCGGGAGGAGGCCCAGAGGAAGACCCAGGACACGCTGGAAGGACTATGTTTCTCGGCTGGCCTAGGAACTCCTCGGGATTCCCCTGGAGGAGATGACCCAAGTGGCTGGGGAGAGGGAAGTCTGGGCCTCCTTACTTAAGCTACTACCCCCGCGACCCGACCCCGGATAAGTGGAAGAAAATGGATGGATGGAAATGTTTATTGTGCTCACAAGGTAGTAAGTTAGTCTGAAATGTTTAATTTAACAACTCTAGATGATAGGTGGCAGATTTGGCTCACTATTTGGCAACACACTGGTCAGTTTTGTCTCTGTCACCCTTAATTAATGCATAATAAGCAGTTATTGATTTATAAATTGTTGATAGAGGAATTAATAACGTATCTAGAAACTATTTATTAGCATATATAAGGGGAGCCTTATTGTAAGATGTTCACAGTACAGAAACATCATTTGTACCAGTTTTATATATTTTGATTTGCTACAGATTCAGAACATTTTGCCTTTATATCCCATCTTTTCACTTCACTGACTCTCTGTTGGTTTTTTAAATTGATTTCAAACTTTATTTGCTGACCCATTAGACATAAGTTTATTTGACTGACGTCCTGCAGCTTCCTTTTACTGTACTTTATTAATAACCAGGACTTTTACTGTTTTGTTTGTTGCACGTATGCCAGAGAATTACAAGCAGACAGGCTTGGAAGAGGATTACTCTGGTAATAAATTACATTGTTATCTAATTTTAGATCTGCTCTGCTGCACCTGTTGCTTCAGCACATATGAGCTGTGACTATCATTAATAAATGCACACATCAGTCTCTTTTTAAAACTGTTTCAGATGTTTTATTTGATTGAAAATGTAAAAAAATAAAAAATAAATCAGCCTACCAAGGTTCAGTTGTGAGTTAATGCTTGAAATGAGTCAGGGACATGACACGGAAAATAAAAATGATAGATTTGTTTTTATTAAAACAGATTAATTTTAGTGTTATATTGGTACTAAATAAAGCAGCTGTTCAAACATCAAACTCTTCTTGTACAACTAATTAATTTGATCACAGACAACAGAAATATATAAAACACCTGGTATTTACAAACATTATGTAAAAAGCAGCATCTTATATGAGTCGTTTCTACAAAAATAATGTAAATAAAATCTGTATAGTCCTAACACAGAGCTCATCTCTCTCCTCTTCCCTCCCTGAGCAGTTCCTCCTCCACTCCTCCTGTTTCCCTGATTTTCCTGGCTTCCTTCTCAGCCTCCTCTGCCCTCTTCCTCTCCTCCTTGGCAGTCTCCATGAGCCACGGCCCGCCCAGGTAGCTCAGGATCTCCTCCGGGGTTCCTCTGTGTTGGGGCTCAGGGTGCAGCAGCTCCTTTAAAAGAGTCATCACCAATGGACTGAGGCCCTCGAACTGAGAGGGGGGAGGGTTGTCTTTCTGCCTCTGCTCCATGATTGTGTAGTTGTCCTCCTCATCCCTCCACTTCCCATCTCTTAGTTTGTTCCTCTCGGCCTCGCGGTCAAACCACTTCTTGTATTTGCAGTAGCCGGGGTCACCATGAGTGCTCTCCTCCCAGGGGAAGCAGCCAGTTAGGAGGCAGTAGACGAGGACCCCGAGGGCCCAGCTGTCAATGCAGGGCTGCACTGTAATCCAGATGTCCTCCACCTCCTCCTCAATCCCCTCATTCAGCCTCCTCTCCATCTCCTTCTCGGCCGTCTTGGCAGCTTCCACCTCCGGAGTGCAGAAGGGCGACTCGTACCACACGGCTCGAACGGTGGTGCCGGCAGCCCGAGTCAGACCGAAGTCCCCCAGCTTCACCCAGCGGCAGGAGCTGTCGCACAGGAAGATGTTCTCGGGTTTGATGTCACGGTGGACGAAGCCCAGCGAGTGGAGGTGTGTGACGGCACCGCTCAGCTGGGCCATCACCCTCTGGACGCAGTCCTCATCCACCCCAACCTGAGACAGGCGGATCAATAAGAACAGGGGTCATGAAGGGTCACGCTCAACCAGAAGCTTCATCACAACAAATTATTGACTTGAACTCTGTTTATTTTAGCATTTCGGCTAACTGAACTGACACAATGGATGCATGTTGGATGTTTGGTTCATGTACTTGGTTGAAGCTGCTTTTACAGAAGTTGGGGCAGATCAGTAACTTATGCACAGCAAAGGAGAGTTATTTAAAAAAAATCATATTTTTCAACTAATTTAAGACAAATGTATCTGTATCTTTTTTATCTTCTTTTTGCTCTCGGCGAAGGTGGATGCTTTTTTCCTTATCTAACGACAAGGGCAGCGCCTCCCACGAGGCTGCAGCCTCAGACACCCCCGTCTACCCATGCGTTTGTTTTCTATGGACAGGCTGTACTGAAATATGATTTCATTGTGCTTCTGTGCAATGACAATAAAGGCATTCTGATTCTGAAATGTGCTCAGTTTGGCACACTCCAGTGAGAAGTTAGCTTTTAAATTTTGATAATTACTTATAATATCAATTCAAGTGATATTTGTCATTTAAATAAAATTATTTAATTAAGAGTTCCTTGAAGGTGATATTGATTGTTAATTCCCCAACGCCCCAAAAATGTTGTTTTAGCCTCGAAACGTAAACTCTTTTTTGCCTAAATAATTCATGGAAAACTTTTCAGATCAGTTCGGTTTGTTTATACAGTATAAGGTCAATTTACTGCAAAAGTCACCTCAGGGTGTTGCACAAAACAACAACAATGAAAGAAATCAGTTTCTGATAATAATAATAATAATAATAATAATAATAATAATAATAATGATGCAAATTATGTCTTTAAAATGGACATAATTTGTACGCTGGATTTTTTTCCCAGCGTGTATTTTTAATGTACACCACAAGTGTGAGTCTTGATACTTAAACGTTTTGTCAGAGAGCAGAACAATTAAAGTGTCTGTGACATCAATTTTTGTAAAAACAAATATTAATGCATTTAAAAAAAAATAGCATTGGCAAAAATAAAAACATCACAGCACTGAGATGAACAGTTGCTGAGATATTCACATGTGCAATAACAGGAAGTGACGACAAAGGGGAACACTTAAATTTTAGCATAGTTATCTTATTATTAATTATAATTTTTAAATTACCCACAATCAAGATTATGTTGAGTCACCACCAGAGAGAAACAAACAAGAGCCAAAATTCAAATAATATAGTTTCAATAAATAAAGATCAGGAAGTTCCTCTTTTTAAAGAGTTCCCCTTTGATGTCACTTCCTGGTTCACCTTGGCTGCACCAAGTTCAAATGAAAATAAACCAGTTATGTGACAAAATAGGTAAAATCAAGTGTAATATGTCAAATTTCTTGAAGTAATAGGATGTTTTCTTCCACTTTATATATTTGTAGGATACGCATGTCACAGCTACTTTAACTGGGAATTTGAAAAACTTTTAATGCAGTGTTTTTTAAATACTAAAACAATTAAATTTAAGAGGTTTTGACAAATTCTGTACCATTTCTGTCAAGTTATAGCAAACTCTCCTTAACCTGGGCCATACGCAAACATTTCAAAATGTTTATCTTGAGGCATCATGCTCTTTTAATTTAGCTCAGAACAGTTCAATCTATATACAGTACTCTCTGCAAACTGCTAATACCTTAAGGGTTGCCTCTTACTACTCGTACATCACAGAAAATAAGCAAAATACTAAGCTGAGGTGGGGACATGTAAATAAAATAAATGAAAGTGACCAAGAAAAGTCAGCTTTTTAGATCAGAAGTCTGGTGCAAGCACTCTGGCAACGAGACGATAAAACCTGCGTCACCAGAACTCTTGCTGACGCCTTTGGAAACCCCTGCTTTACTTCATCTACTGTGTCTCCCTTCACTTAATGCAGGGTGCTCTTATGCTTATCAGTGCTCTATTGTGTTCCTGGCAGAGGCATAAACACAGAAATAGGTCTGCTGGAGGCTGTTATCAAACAGGTCTCAAGTTTTTACTGGCAGGAAGGAGAACTCAGTGTATTTGGATCAGCTGTGCAGGTCCCACAGAGAAAGATGAGCTGTGAACATATCCAAAACGCTTTGTGGACATTTGTCTTTGTCATGCATTTATCAGGAAATAATCCTGTTTAATCACCATGAATGTTTCTTGTGCATTTATGGGGGACGTTATACGCTCTTTTGGCAATAAAATACTTGGATTACAGGTACTTTTTCCTCATGTGTTTTGCAGGAAATTACTGGAATATTTAAACATAAGTCATGCCACACACCAGCCTAACTGACCTCTGACACAATGACACTGTAGAGATCGCCATAGAGACACGCCTGCTGGGCAAAAACGTAGTAGGATGGCGTGGAGAAGAAGATGCCCACGGCCCGCGTCAGAGAAGGATGGGTGCAGTAAGAAAGGGAGAGGTTGTATTCACGCAGGAAGGAGGTGAGGGAGGTAGACTGGCGGGGGAAGAACTTCAGAGCCATGGGAGTTCCTGATGGGAGCAGAGCAACAGTAAAGTAATGAACAATGCACTCTTTAAGACCTCTCAGCATTGTCGGGCTGCATGTTGAGCCCATCAGTGACACTGTTTGCAAATATTAGCTCCCTTTGGAGTGACTGCGTTTCTCGGCTTCACTCACTGCTGCAACTCAATCCTGAAAGCCAAAAGGGAAAATATGTGTAAAAAAATAACTAAGTACACCCCTACACTCAATACCAACAGCAATAAGTTTAAACTGTATCTGTTTATTAGTTTCTCACGAGTTGTGGGGGACTTTTGGCTCACTCTCCTTTGCAACGTTGCTATAGTTTAGTGGTTCCAATCATGGCCCTTGAGGAACACCATCCTGCATATTTTAGTTGTTTCACTGCTTTGACACACCTGGTTTGATGAATGGATGATTGACAGGCTTCTACAGAGTTTAAGTAAGCAATTAAATCACTGAATCAGGCATGTTGGAGCAGGGAAACAACTAAAACATGCAGTATGGTGTTCCTCAAGGACCAGGGTTGGGAATTGCAGACATTAATTTCTGCTCAGCTCTCTTAAGGACCCACCACAGGTCTGGACTTCTGGACTATTGCAACACCTTAAGTATTTTCCTTTACATCCATTTTATTGTAGATTTGATGTGTTTGGGATCATTGTCCTGTTTCATGAACCAGTTTGGTCCAAGTTTCAGCTGTCGGACAGATGGACTCATATTTGTCTCTAGAATACTTTGGTCTGCGAGGAGTTCACAATCCACTCAGTGACTGCAAGGTGTCAGAGTCCTGTGGCTGCAAAACAAGCCCAAACCATCACCGCACCACCACTGTGCTTGACAGTTGCTAAGAGTTTGTGCTGACGGGCTGTATCTGCTTTTTTTTCTGAACAAGCTAGCTGTGTTATCAAATGTCTCTACTTTTTTCTCATCTGTCTAAATTTACAGGAGTCTTGGGGTTCGTTCAGATGCAACTTTACAAACCAAAGTTGTGCTGCCATTATTATTATTATTATTTATTTATTTATTTAGAGAGAAGAAGCTTTCTTCTGGCAACCCTTCTAAATAAACCATATATATTTAGTCTTTTTCAAATTCTGTTGTCATGAGCTAACTGAGGCCTGTAGAGTCTAAGATGGAGCTCTCGGGTATTTAATTTCTCCGAGCACTGCACAGTCTGACCTTGGGGTGATTTCGTTTAGTTCGTTTTGACGTCCAGGTTTCTATAGTGACAAAATATGTTTACAAATGAAAAAACTTTGAAGACTTCCATCCAGCTGTTGGATTCTGTTGGCTTCACATCCCAACAAGAGGAGCTGGAGTCGTGACGTCTAGTGTTCTTAAAATCTGATTGATGCTCCAAACCAGTAAAACTCCTGCTTTAAAGAGGGGGGCACACTTACTGGTGATCAGGTCATCAGTACTTTTGATCAGCAGCACCTGGGGGTTGTTTTGCCTCTTAAATCTTATAGAAGCAGCTGGAGTGAATTTAGTTTTTCATAGACATTTGTTTCAATCTTGGCTAAAAAAAATAACCACATGGTAGAATGTGTATTTTTGTGCACCTGAAGTTGGATTTGTGTTCCTCGAGGCATTCTGTGGGGGCTGCTGCAGGAGTGTGGGGTGCCTGTGTTGATTTAAAAGCTATCCAGTCCCTGTGTAACCCAAGCAGGAGCTGCGTCCGCATTCTTGGCACAAAGTCGAGCTCGTTCCCAGTGCGGGTTGGACTCTGCCAGGGCTGTCCCTCGTCTCTGATCCTGTTTGTGGTGTTCATGGACAGGATCTCGAGACGCAGCCGTGGAGAGGATGGTGTCTGCTTTGGGAACCTCAGGGTCTCATCTCTGCTTCATGTGGATGATGCGGTTCTGTTGGCATCTTCAGGCCAAGACCTTCATTGTGCACTGGGATGGTTTGCAGCTGAGTGTTGAGCGGCTGGAATGAGAGTTAGCTCCTCCAAGTCTGAGACTCTGGTTCTTGAAATGGGTAGATTACCCCCTCTGGGTCAGGGAGTGTTTACCTCAGGTGTAGTTCAAGAATATGGACGTCTGGTTCACGAGTTATGGTAGGATGGAGCGGGAGATGGATCGATGGATTGGGTCCTCGTCCTCAGTAATGAGGGCATTGCTTCGGTCTGTTGTGGTGAAGAGAGAGCTGAGTCAAAATGCAAAGCTCTCAATTCACTGTTTTGTCTACGTTCCAACCCTTACCTATGGTCATGAGGTTTGAAAGAACGAGATCCCAGATACAGACTCTTCTTTACCTTACTCGGGTTAAATAGGTTGTTTAACTTTACGTTGCACTGACCTCTCTTCCTGTGCACGGCCAGCATGACTTTTCCGTACGATCCCTGTCCCAGGAGCTTCAGCACCTGGAAGTGTTTGGATACTTTCAGGCTGGGCAAGGACTGTGCTGACAGGAAACATAGCTCGTCGAGTTCTTGAGCTGCCGTGGCCTGGACACACGCAAACAGACACACAAACCCAGATTCTGTGTCAGTGCAGCGAGGCTGAGGATTTGATTCTGTAGCATCGAGAGAAATAAGAGCCACAGTGAGCAGCATGATGACAGTTCACTACAAAGAATGAAGTGTGCCTCTGAAGCTGCACATTCTGATTATAAAACAGGAGCTGCAGAGTATAAATCTCATGCATCTCATTAGCTGTCATATTAAACATGTGTTACCTTCACTGGTTTAGAGAAATGGAAAATCTAAATCCAGTTCTACTGGCAGAGCATAGTGGAATATATTGCGTTGTATTATCACCTTTGCTAATCTGGGTTGATCTTCGCTGATGTTTACAGCAAACTGGATTAATTCTTGGCATACCTTTTATTCGACAATCAAGACATGTGGCGCTGTCAATCACTCTGTTTCCATCATCAACCGTTTTGTGAAGCCATGATGATTTCCTTTGAAGAAGATCTCCCGCCACGTGTCCCGGTAAACTATAACGGGTGCGAACAGCTAAGGCGCAGCTTAACACAAAAGATAAAGCGATCAGAGCTGGATAACATATTTTTACTCGTGACCTTTCCCATGTTGTGTAACCATGGCAACAGATATGAAGTAAATTACTCCCGTCATTGACACTGAATATGTAGTAAAACTAACTTTTCTTGTGCCTTGTTTTTCTGATTAATGAGCTTTTTATGGAGAACACAAACAGTTGCATTCGGACACTTAAAGGGTCAAGTCTGAAAAGTATCGGAGGAACTCCAGAAGTTTCAAAAACAATCACAGACGTAGCATTCCTTGAAAGGAACGCATGCCGCCCGCCATCCTTCAAGCCAGAGTTTTAAACGAAGATAATCCTACGATGATGAGGAGTTATAGCCGTTTTGTTACGTGAAATGGTGAGATCTTTCAAGATATGACAGCGCTCAGAGAACGTGTTGGGGATGACTCTCAGCTACTACCACACCAATTTTTATCTCAACATCTGTAAAATTGACTGGGTTATAGCTGTTCATGTGTTTTCCACGGTCTATTGGCTGTGGCGGCCATCTTAAATTTGTCTAACTCCAATCAGTTGTAGATGAGCACATAATGACTGTTTGATGAGACTTTCATTAAAATATACCCAGTGATTCATGAGATATTTTGCTAACAGACACAAATGATTCCAACAATTAATGACAACATTTTGGAGTCAGATCCTGCTCGATCAATCAGCCCTTAAACTAAGTGTTAGGGATGACCTTATAGTAACACAACAAACATGAGCTCAATATCCATAAAAGTAGCTGAATTATAGCTACTTTTGTGCTTGCTAAGATTGATTAGCTGGGGCAGCCATCTTGAAATGAATTGACTCCAAAACGTTAACCTGTTGTAGATGTAAATAAATCAAGTGAATAACGTCTGAGGGTTTCATTGTAGTCTGTTCACTGTTATATGAAATGTTTTGCTAACAGTACAGACAAGCAAACCTAAACTTACACAGACATGGACAAAACCTTACAGCTGCTTCACCTCTGGAAGAGGCGAGACAGTAAATGTCAATTTATGAAGAACTAGTTGGAAACATACAAATAACTCTGACGTGCAGCTCACATTTCAAGCACAACAGCTAATTGGGGGGGGGGGGGGGGGGCCCTT